AAAAGAAGTTGAACTGGAAACATTGTCAGAATGGGTCAAAACAATCAGGTCTCTGATAAAACGTCGAATTCATAAGTTGAAAAACTGTGTGAATGATCGACCAAAGTCCGTTTTCAGAGACAAAGAAGCTGTGAAATGTCTATCATCTCTTCACGATAAATATGTTGTTGTTCCTGCGGACAAAGCTTCAAATAATATTGTTTTTGTATGTAAATCGTACTACTATGAGTGTCTGGTAAATGAATTAGGAATAAATGAGCATTCAGGTAATCCCACATACAAAAACATATCATTTGACAAGGATGAGATTTTGGTGAATCATAAGTCCTTCATGGCTTCAATGAACATTACATTGAACAGCAAATCTAAGGACTTACCTTGTCTGTATTGGATACCTAAGCTTCACAAAATTCCGTACAAACAACGGTACATTGCCGACTGATCTGCATGTTCTACAAAGGAATTGTCCATTAGATTGACGAAAATTCTGGCCGCAGTGAAAGAGGGTCTTCAGAAATACTGTGAAACTGTTTACTCGCGTAGTGGTATTAACCATATGTGGATTCTAAAAAATTCTAAAGAACTTCTTGTTAATTATAAATCTCGATCTTTCTCTGAAATTAATTCTATCAAAACTTTTGATTTTTCAACCCTGTATACCACCATTCCCCATGTGAAATTGAAAAATCGTCTAAAAGAAATAATCCACAATGCTTTTCAATATAAAAATGGCAGCATACGCAATAAATTTATTGCTTTGGGATACCATACGGCATATTTTGTTAATAGTGAACAAAAAGGTAAAACATGCTACACCGAGGAACACGTGATCAGTATGCTGGAGTTTTTCATTGACAACATATTTGTTGAATTTGGAGGTAGACCTTTTCAGCAAGTTGTCGGCATTCCTATGGGAACGAACTGTGCGCCTCTCCTTGCAAACGTTTTCTTATTTTCATATGAGTCGGAGTTCCTTCAGACACGTGTCAAAAACAAGAAAATCAAAGAAGCCCGATCATTTAATTTCACATTCAGATATATTGATGATGCGCTTTCCATTAAATATCCAAACTTTTCTGATTGGGTTCCATTAATATATCCTCCAGAACTAGAAATTAAAGAAACAACAGACACGGCTTCCTCCGCCTCATTTTTAGACTTATACCTCGAATTTGACATAAGCGGTCATAGACGATTTTAATTTTGAAATTATAAACTTTCCCCACCTTAGTAGCAATATACCAGCTTCACCTGCATATGGGATATACATTTCCCAACTTCCCAACTCATTCGGTATTCAAGAGCTTGCAGCTGTTACTCAGACTTTATAAAACGTCAACAGTGTTTGAGAAAAAAGTTGATGAGCCAAGGGCAAGGTTACGTCAAAGAACGTCTCGTCCTGTTTCTAAAAAAGTTCATTGGAAGATACCACGACCTTGTTGATAAATATTCCGTATCAACTTCAAAAATAGTACATGATGGTCTTGAAGTATATATTCTAGGTACTGACGTTGTTTATCATCTTAATTGCGTGTTAAAGTCCCCTTTTTTGTCCTAGTATATTTTTAACCCTTACTGTTTATCCATATTTGATTATATATCTATGACGTGGATCGGTACTTATACATTCCGCCATTGTGTTATTGTGCTATGGTCAATTTTGAGTTCTTGTCTTCCATTTTTGCATATGTACTTTGTCTATATAGATATAAGAAGATGTGGTATGAGTGCCAATGAGACAACTCTCCATCCAAGTCAAAATTTAAAAAAGTAAACCATTATAGGTCAAAGTACGGTATGCCAGTTTGTGTTTCTTTGTTAAAACAGTTATTTGTTTTATAGTGTTTAAGATTATATTACAATTTTGACTGCTGTACTCCGATTTTTGACGTTTTTACCTATTATGTCTGTTTGTTTTGCTCACACATTGTTGTCAATATAATGGAATTCTATGCGACTGTCATACAAGCGAGAGGTTTAGCTAGCTATAAAACCAGGTTTAATCCACCATTTATTACATAAGGAAATGCCTGTACCAAGTCTGGAATATGACAGTTGTTTTCCATTCGTTAGATGTGTTTAAGCTTTTGATTTTGCCATTTTATAAAGGACTTTCCGTTTTGAATTTCCCTTCTAGTTCGATATTTTTGTTATTTTACTTTTTACATGTAAACACATGGAAAACATTATCTTCAAACACATAATGCAACACCTAGAGAAATAGGAAATCTTAGTAGATTTACAACACAGCTTCAGGCAGAAAAGATCATGCGAATCTCATTAAGTTACAACAATTGAAGATATAGCCAAACATCTGGATAACAAAGAGCAAGTAGATATGCTATAAATTTTAGACTTTAGAAAAGCTTTCGATGTAGTACGACACCTGCGCCTTTTACAGAAACTGCTGCATTACGGAATAAAAGGCAAAATACTTGAGTGGCTAAAGGCTTGGCTCACGCAACGTCAACAGTGTGTAGCAGTTGAAGGTAAACGTCTAGAAAGGCCTTTGTGAAATCAGGATTACCTCAAGGGAACATTTTAGGTCAATTGATGTTCCTTTTGTACATCAATGATATCGGTGATGAAATCAAGACAAATATACCAGATTATGTTCAACAACAAAACAGGACAACAAGGTGATACCATAAACGAAAATTCAGAAATCTTCAAACATCAACCAACAGCTTCTTACCTCGTACCATCAAAGACTGGAACAGTTTACCAACAAAACTGTTAAATATAGCATAAATATATTTAATATGCGCATGTAAATATGTTTTTTAAAGAGCATCGTATTGAATGACTGGTCTTAAACATCTTTAAATGGAGGATAGAATACATACTATTTCTGGAAAAGCACATTGTATCTGAAATAATAATAGTATGAATATACTTTGGCGGACACTGACCGTTAGATGGCGCTGAATTATTCCAATTAGAATATACTGTTTATTTGAAATAAGTCAGTCATGGGGTACAAAATATAGTCACGGAATACAAAAACAAATTAACTGATATTAGTCTAGCCAGACCAAGAATACTTTTACATACCATGGAGGAAATAAGAAAAAAAAAGGCATGCGATACTCAGATTCCGATGGACGAAACTAAAACATAATACTGGCAATAAAACTTCCTGATAATTCATATTGGACAACACATTCACAATCCACAGTCGTATTTTCATTAGAATCCATAATTTTGATTGGCTGACAACAATCCCGAGGCACTCCAATATCATATTTTATTTCTGTATAAAAAATACAACATCTATGACTGAACGTGCTGTCTGTGACAATTTTAAAATGATGCATTGAAAAACAATCAAAAAGTTTGATATAACTTTTATTAAATTTCATGGTTGTAGCATAAAAATGTAATCATAAGAATTGAATGCTTCGTTTTCTAATTTTATAGAGTTGTAAAAGCGTTGATCGTGCGTACATTTTAGATGTGAAGCACTTCATACAAAATGTGCTTCGGTCAACGGTTTTATACCCTAATCAAATTATAAAAAGAAGCATTCAATTCTTAAACAAATTTTCGGGTGCGAGATTATCTCGCTGTGTTGAAGACCCATTGGTGGCCTTGGGCTGTTTTCTGATCTTTGGTCGGGTTGTTGTCTGTATGACATATTCCCCGTTTCCATTCTCAATTTTATTTTCTCGTCTGAAATGCTTTTCTGGATTCACCTCCCGATCAGGAACACTCAAACTCAACATTTGAAGCTTATAGTGAGGGATGTATATATCATGTAAAATACGTAGAAACGTTAGGAACTATTTGACCAAAAAGGAAACAAAAAAGAATAGCCAAGCTATTCATTGCCTTGGGGAGTTGGAACCTTAGTACCTTGATTATTTTTTGATAATTTGTTAATCTATCAACGGAGTATTTTATAAAATTACGTTCAAAATCATGTCAGTACCGGAGCACTGACTATATATACGATCTCTCAAACAATCATGTTTTAAGCATATAAAACAATTAATAAAACAGCAGGTCTAAACTTCCCCAGCAAAGGCTTTGGGACAAGTCAACTTTATATTCATTTACTGGAATGAAAATATGGATATTTATTTTTTTTTAAATCTGCTGTTGTTTAATATTGGTAACTATCTTAAATTAAGAAATATATTTCCCTCATACAAAGCTTTGATTTGGCTATACTTGAGGTCATTTTTGGTTAATCAGCTCTTCAAATTTTGTATTAGGTTTTAAATGTTTAAATAGTTTTGCCTCAGGCATCACATACGCATCTGGTGCAGTAAAATTGCTAACGTTAATGTTATTACTCTGGATTCCAAAGGACTACGAGTGAACTATAACATACGACAAGTGTTTACCCGAGAAAGAGGACAAAGTCCGAAAGACTATAGTATGTTGCCACTATTTTTTTATATCAGAAAAGCCAAATGGGTCAATTTTTTGTGCAAACCATATCTGCCACAAAAGTGAATTGAAAAGTAGTTTAAATTTGCGTCTGAAACGGTTAAAATTAACTCACTCAGATATAGGCGGTGTTCTGTTAAAGCAAGAAAATGGCTGCACTCATTGTAACTGTGTAAGTTTTACTTCGCATATTCTAAAAAGAGAAAATAAAAGTTAACAAGAGAAGCTTGTTCGACTTTAGCATCTATCAAATGTGAGCACAATTGCATTAGTAGAAGTAAGTATAAGTTCTGAATGTGTAGAAGGGAGGCGAAAGATACCAAAGGAACACTCAATCTCATAGGTCGAAATTAAACTGATAACGCCATGGAAAAAAACCCAACAAAAAAGACCAAAAGACAAACAACAGTACACAAAACAAACATTTATTGTATAACGTAATATTAACTTTAGAGGAGTGTTCAGAAACTTTTCTGAGGTCTCTATTTCTACGACCAAGCCTTGTAAATACAAAATAAATATAAAGTTACACATACTTACATCTCCTTATTTTTATATTAGAGGCTACTAAAGAAAGTCACGCATAAAAATAAATAGGAAATTATTAAGCAGTTTTACAAGTTGTTTCCGATGGTTTTCTCGGTCGTGTGATTGCAATCATAACAAGTCCGCAATTGGACTGACGTGGAAGGAAAAATACAACAGTGAACTTTAATCAGTAAGACATTTTATTTACATTGACAAGCGATATTATTTGCATGTAAAGCCAAACTATGCATGTATTGACCAATAATCCTGCAAATTCTATTTTGATTTCAACGAAAGTAATTTGAAACAAAAAAATATATATTATCTAGATAAGCGAAGGTGGGGGTTGTAATTACGTAAAAACTGGTTTAACCCCACCACATTAATCAGGCTATCTTGACCATTTGTTGTTGTTGGATTTAAATTGTGTGTATGTCTTTTTCCGGGGAGTCGGCTGTTGGTGGTTGAGTTGTATGGTCTCATAATTTTGATAATTCGTGTTATCATTTTTAAGTATTGTTAGGTATTGAATACATTGAACTCATGCAAAACTTAAGTACAGTAATTTGAATTAAACTGTTTCACCTTAACAAAATAAATTTGACTGTTTGTATGTAATTTTTGGATAGCTCTTGTTAAAACCTATCTAGCAAAAACACATCAGTGGTTCAAAGTGGATCGTAAAAAAATCAGATTTTTAGTTAAAACTTTTTATTCTAAAACCTAATTCATAAACACGTACAGTAATACAATGCAATGATTAGAAAACTTATACAAATTTATCTCCTAGCATGAGAAGTGGATTTAGTCAAGATTGTTGTATTTAAGGAGATCCTGAAATATTTAAGAACATCCAAAACTCGATTTCAGGACACCTTTAAAAGTGTATAGAGCCTTGCAAATATTTCAAAGAATCTAGAATTCGATTTCAGTCTTTTCTTAAATATTTATGGATGTCCTGAAATCATTGTGGACCTATGTAAATGTTTTAGGATATCCCGAAATCGAATTATGGAGCTCCTTAAAATTATAATAAAGGAGCTCTATAAATATTAAGGATATTCTGAAAAAGGTTAAAGGCAACCTGAACAGGTTAAAGGACATCCTGTGATAAAGCAATTTTGACCAATTATTTGAAGAGGTCATGAAATCATGCGGAAGTCGAATTATACAGGTCCTTGTATATTTCAGGAGGTCCTCAAGGATGTATTGATATCTTGAACTCGAATTATGGAGGTCCTGAAATATTTCATATTTTTGCCTCTCATTTTGTAGGAGGCATTGTTAGATACCGGATAAACCGAACACTTTCTGTGATTACTAATACATAACACTTGGATTGGCTTAGTATGTATATATTGATCAACAGTTCCAATGAACATAAAATTACTTGATGACATCAAGTTTAAAAGTGGTATTCCCAGAACTATTCCAGCTATATACAATTAAAGAGAACGATACTATGCTCGTTTCGATACAAAAAAGTACATGCCGTTTAATATGTGAATTGATAAATACACCAATAAAATGAAAATTACATGGTCTTTTTCGATAAATTGACCTATCTTTCTGCTGACACATATGTCGTAAGATATTCATTGTTATTCAAACCCCCCCCCCCCCACACTATTTTTTTTTGAATCTTTTAGTCACAGAAAGTACTAATCAAACCGGTGAAAATGGCTCGGCAATCGTAGAAACCCGGTCTGAGAGTTTGGTCTGATATGTATGAAATTGTATCTATCAACAAAAGTGCTCTTCTGACTAAAAAGTATACTATCGTATATCATATCTATGTAGTACACTTCATAGATATAGTTGATATTATGTAATACTGCATAAATAATATCTTTATGCTTATCAAAAACAAAATAAATTATCTATAAGTGTGATTGCCAATGAGACAACTATATCCACACTAGAGACAAGGATATAAGCAACTTTAAGTAACCGTACGGCCTTCAACAATAAACCAAAAACCTATATGTATAGTCAGTTATAAAACGCCCTGACATGACAAAATGTAAATCATTTTGAAACAAACAAAAAATCAACAGGTTTGCGAGCGATCAACCCTCCTTCCAACCAGGGACAGTAGTGTAACAGCACAACATAAGAAAAAAATATTAAAAATCAGTTGTAAAGGATTGACTCCTCAGATCGACTCAAATTACAAAATGACAAAAAGACGACAGATACAACATACCGATCTAAGAGTACTTGCAGTTTCTGAAAGCTGCTTATTACGACTAAAAACGCGTCTTAAAATAATGTAAACTACATTTTAAGAAGGGAGAAAAAGTTTAACATGAGCAAGTTTTGAGCCTTCAGTAAGTCTATCGTCTTGAATATGCATGAAATATTTGCCACTTGACGTTAAGCAAACAACAATCAATTAATCAATCAGTAAGTCTATACAACCACCATACACGGCATTCCTATCTATATTATCTATTCTGTAATATTGCTAATTAATGTCCATGACGTATGACAAAGAGTTATCGGTTTAAACATATATCCTTCTGGTGACCACAGGTAAAACGAGATAACACATTCTTCCTTGATAAATACAAGTATCCAACGATCGCACTCCCACTCTATAAACCTCCTATCAACGTCTAAACATCAGGTGAGTCTACACAAAGTTCGGCTTTTTCAATTTCTGAAATTTCAAATGTTTATATAGCCAATTTTGATTCTTTGCTGGTCTTTTGTAGGGTCACCACCAATAGCTTGCCAAGATGTCTTATATGATCAATCGTGTGGTATGTACTTTTCATTCTGTCTTTTATTTGTTCAAAGCATCCGACTAAGCAATGAAAAAAAATACCTGTTATTTTAAAACTGATACATTAAAATACAAATTTTATACACTATCAGTGCTTTCAATATGAACAGACAAATTGTTTGACCTGTGTCAAACATCTCTAGTCCCTTTATTTTTAAATTGTAAAACCATTAGTGGTTATTTTAATTTTCTCATGTTTCTACGATTATGTGTATGCCTTGTAGTTGAATACCATGTATGTTTATTAAGTTATATTCAAAATGATTAAAAGCTTTCATGTCATACAGACGAATTATATAGTTAGTGTTTCCATGCTTTTGCAGCTGGTAATTTTTCTTCCTTCTCACAAGAAGGAGGTTACTATATATGGAATAAATTTGATGGTGTAAATAATCTTTTATTAGATCTTTCCCTAATGTGTTCTTGTTGTTGTCTCAAAATCCGAAGTGTTCATTCGGCCTCTTTTTTTGCGGTGTTTATATATCCCAACTCGTTCCCTATACCCGTGTCTGTAGTTACGTTTTGGGTCAATTTAAACGTTATCTATGTATAATAACTGCACATGATGAATTATTGAGTCGGGGATTTTGTTAACACAAGTTTCGTAAAACCTTTACAAAATTCTTTCTTATATAAATAGAAGGATTTAGTTTGCAAGCTTGGCAATATCTGTAAAGATATAATTATAAACGAGATATCATATCCCAATTTTTCGTTGATGATGTTTATTGAGCTTGTATAGTACGATTCGATCCATGCATGTATTGGTCATTTGAATATTCCTATTCATAAAGTTATCAATTTAACATTGTACAAAGTCAGAGTCAAAAGTGTTTCACCATTTGAAACTGAATTCCGCTATCTATTTCATATTTATACACATTTTAATAAAGATTCTCCTTAGGTTATTTCTTTTCCCATTAAATGCAGAAATGTCTGCATTTTTTTCAATACTTATGAACTATATTTATGATTTTTACCTTTGAGGGAATCACTTTTTAAAGACAAATATGAATTACTGCATGCCCGAAACGATCATATGGATATATAGGGAAAAATGAAACGCAGTGCCTATATTTGTATACATATAATGATTTTTTCGGAAATGAAATGTTTTAAGAATATTTCAAAATAGCTATAAAAAACCGTACACATTTATGAGTGTAATAAGATCTTTGTCTTTATTGGTACTTAATTTGATTTTAATTCAATAATTTCATACATATCCTATCCATTTGTTAACACTTATGGTCCTTCATTCTAAAATTGAGAATGGAAACGGATACTGACAGATACTTATATTTTGGCATTGGACTAGGTCAATGCTTTTCTCAAACTTTGCTGCTTATAATGTATTTACGCTAAATTCTTTTGAGCTGTACTGGTTGATATTTATTTAAGTCTGGCACACGTGTTCTATTTATAAGTTAAAAACTGGGCAAGAACTAGCTTTTAGTAACTGTAGGTACTATTAGGTCAGTGTGTCTATCGTAATTTGTTTTTTGTTTGTTTTGTTTTTGTGATTAGCCAAAATATTAGGCGCAAGTGTCAATTAATATTTACAGTTTGCTCTAATGTTGTACTGTTACCACCTTGTTCAAGGTTAGGATATTGTTGAGCGCTTACAAACATGTTTATGTCAAGCCGAGGCATCATGGCTTACTATACGGTATGGGTTTTGCTAATTGTTGAAGGCCGTACAGTACGCTATAGTTGTCAACATCTTCGACTTTAGGTCTCTGGTGGATAATTCAACCATTGGTAATCATACCACATCTCCTTCTTTTTATATCAACCCTCAACATATTCGTTATGTACTTTCTCTCACAGTGGTTGTGGAAATGCAGTGTTCCGATTATTTAATTTGTCATCACTATGAAAAATAAGGAGACGTGGTTTGGTCAATTGCCAGTCAGACCACTCGCCATAAAAGACAATATTGAAAAAAGGGAGACGTGGTATGATTGCCAATGAGACAACTAGCCACCAGAGACCAATTGACGTTGATTTGTGTAACTATAGGTTAACCCATGAGCAAGACCTATACCGTAAAGTCAGCTTAAAAAAGCCCCGACATGACAAAATAACATATAATTAGTTTGTTTTTGATGTATTATTTAAGTTTCTCTATTTTGTCACAAATATAGGCAATTATTATGGAATATTTAACCCGGTATGTCAAGGTTGTGTTTACTTGTACTGTTTATAGCGTTAATGTGTGAAATCGATTTAGACAAACCTTGGCCTATTCGTATATGGAACCTGAGCCTATTTCATTATGCAATAAGATGATGTGGTATGATTGCCAACGAGACAACTCTCCATCGGAGACCAACTGAAGTAGAAGTTAACAACTATAGATCACTGTACAGCTTTCAACAATGAACAAAACCCATACCGCATAGTAAGCTATGACAGTTCCCGAAATGACAAATGTAATACAATTTAAACGAATAAACTAACGGCTTGATTTGTTTACAAAACAATAAACGAAAATGAATATGATATACAGCAACAAACAACTATCACTGAACTACAGTCTCCTGACTTTGGACAGACACATACAGAATTAGTAGCATTTCATATCAGAATATAGATTTGATGTAAAATGTGGGAAACGTAAATGTTTCCCCGTTCTGCAAGCCTTAGGTTACGACTTAATCCAGAGTAATTGTTCACAAAATTTATTACAATTTAATAGATAACTTTCAAGTAAGAACCAATTGAACTTTCAAGTACAGTTCCCATTACATTTACTATGATACAATGCTTATGTTATTATGCCAAAGTTAGAACCAATTGTTCAATGACCTCGGGTCAACCGTCGCAACTCATTCATAAAAAACAACTTCAAATTGGTCTACTACAGCAAAACTTCAAAATTGATATCGTTTAGTACGAACGAGGGAACACCTTTTGATCCTCACATGCATATGTTTTGTCTAGCAAAAGACTATATACCATCTGCAAGTTAAACATGTCACTATAGTACTAGAGACTAAACAAACAAGAAAACACGTCATTACTTGGCCTCCACAATTTAATATGAATTGCATTCTTCATATGAATTGTACATGAAAGAACATTATCAGACGATGAGTAGGCGAGGGTTTGAAGTTGGTCTCATTTTCAACCCAAGATAACCCGACTACAAAGTTATTTTTATTGTCCTTGTCTTTACATTTGCGATCAAATCAATACAAACCCAATAAATTACAAATACATTTAATCCTGTTATCAAATATTTTAGGGTACGCCTGGTATATACCGGGTTATATCGGTTGATTTAAGAATAGTATATCTATGTGTCATAAATTCATTGATAACCAACTAAAATATTGTGGGTGAGATAGCATATGCATATTCAGCAAAATGGGAAGGTCATAAAAAACTGAATCTGAAGCATTAACTTAAGGTTCCGCGTTCCTTTATCCATTACCTGTTATGAACAATGAATTCATTGGCGTTCAGTGTTTTTGTTATTTTACTTTTTAGAGGGTTTCATCATCTAATATGTATTTTTAATGAGAGGGAAATGATACCAAAACTGTTTGTATGTGTTTTCCTATTACAGCCCAAGTACACCAAACAATATTGTTAACAGCAAGTGCAATAATATTGCTGAATAAAAAAAAAAGATTTACGCAATTGAACAATGACCATGATGCCATCCAACTAGAGTTACGTGCTTGGATGAGTTCAACAGAGTCATTCGAAGATATTGACAATCGCGCCATATCGCTTGAAGAACAATGATCATAATAAAAAAAAACTGAAACATATGTTCTACCACTGTCCAAATTCTTAGCTTTGTACAGATTGTCTATATATTCCACTTGTCAATGATGATTAGAAGCATTTATCTTAATTTATTATTATGAAAAATGCATGTCAATCCTTATATTCTGTTTTTGTCTCCCATCGTATGTGAAGGTTGACATGCTAGTTTTCCCTTAAAAATACATCTACCTCTATCCGATTGTGAAAGTGACAGTAGTTCCAAGTCGCTTTCTCCTTCACCTCCTGCTATATTATTTTGACTTACTTTTTCTTTGTACCTTACAAAAAAGATTCTAGTTTGTGATTATTTAAAATACTACTGTGACTATCCAAGATATATTTTTAAGATGACTAGTTATTTTCTTTTAGTACACACCATCGTCTTTCTATATCCCCAATGGATTACATCCTGGAAAACAATTCATCATGCGAGGAAGAGTCACATGGGGTACCGAAGCGTAAGTCTTTGATTACAATCTTAATGATCTTACTTAGCAAGACTGATATTTGAAGAAATAAATCCTCTACTTAAAGAAGCATTTATGTTATCTCAACTGCTTGACACACATTGGTATACGTATGTCAAGAATATTTCACCCAGCCCAGACTTTTTTGATATAATTAACTGTAGAGACTTGAATAAAGCAAAGTCTGTAAAGCCCTTTAAAATGAACTAAAATAAACATATAAAAGTATGTTTGAAAATAAAATGAATAGTTATGATGAAAATAGTCAACTGTTTCTTTATAAAAATTTCAAACATGTCCTGGATAGATAATTTTATTTCGCTTCTCATATAACTTCTCCGTAAGAAAATGCTTCACAAAACTGAGAATAAGTGACCTCAATCTAGAAATACATAAGGGTTGGTATTATAAAATTCATAAAAAGGATAGACTATGTTAACAGTGTCATTTGCTGGAGGATGAAAAAAAAGATATTTTGTTATGGTACTCTCTACTTTTCCAACCGGACCATCTAAAATGTCTTCCGAACAATTCACTAATCCCAGTGGTACTAGCTTCGTTTTATTAATATCAGCTCATACACTGTACTATAACGGCTTCTTAATATGAGACACGATTCCTATGTTTTATCTATGTAAAAGTACTGAAACTGATTTTTGATCATTATACTGTGCATTTCACGTATATTTAGATTTGCAATCAATTTACAACAAGACACCGACCCACAGGGAGGTGACATCGCATTCCATTTCAACCCCCGACCATCACAAGGAGAAGTAATCAGGAACTCTTGTACTGGTGGTGATTGGCAGGACGAAGAAAAAGATCAGCCACATTTTCCATTTGAAGACGGCAGATCATTCATTCTCCGTATTGAAGTTACTGCTAGTGAATTCAGAACATATGTTAACGGAAAACCATACATCAACTACTCTCACCGTGTTGATTTGGGAAATGTCCATTTCTTACACCTGACGGACGGCGCTGAATACTACGACATCACTTTTGTTGATAGATATGTAAGTAGACTTAAACCAATATGCTTTCAAGATATGTAAAATGCAAAATATGAAACACTTCGTGAAATAAATTAGTAAAGGTTGAATTCGTTTCAATTTTTAATAGCAATAAACACGGAATAACGATGAAACAACATTTTCATCTTCCTGGTCATTTTGAGGTTTCTAATTTATCATCTAGCTGGTATACTACATTTTGAGGTTTCTAATTTATCATCTAGCTGGTATACTAGTAATTGCAACGTCGACAATAAAGTTCCTAAGTGTAACATAACAGGAAAACGATGCATAGTACTGTAAAAGAAAAATCAAAAATTGAATTCGAAAGAGACAAATAAAACAGCATACAGAGACTCAAGACAATTGTATAAAAACAGTAAACATTTGAAATTTAAACTTTTACAGCACGAACTCGAATTAAAACATTGAATAAAAGCACGTGCATTAGAAATGGAAGACTGCTGGTCATGAGGATTTTTTCAAACGAATGTAAATAACACTTGATCTTACGTTTTTAAGGGCTTGCCATATAGAACAGAGATTCCAGGAGGTATGCAAGTCGGAAAAGCCGTTAGAATACGGGGAGCAGGAATGGACAATGAACCGTACGTATAAAAATAGCTCTGCATTTATCCTCATTTCAAAAAGTAGAAGCAGATATTTCATTGCAGTTTGAAAAAAAACTGCTAAACACTAATAAATGCTAAAGCGTCATTATTCTTATCATTTATGTAAACAGACAATTTTGTATTGTCACGCCTGTGACTAACTCCATCCAAAAGGAATTCATACTATTTATTTGATTAAACATTCCTCAAAAGATCTTTCTTTATTCCTGAATATTAAGTTGGACCAATGATAACAGTATGAATTAACAAAGATAAGGATGAGGAAGTTCAAATATTTAATCTGAAGGAAAATGTCGTATTTAATATGAAATGTATTTTTCAATAACCACGTTCATAATGATATATATATAGTAACAATAAAACTTTACTGGTATTTGATGGACTAAAATCGTTGAAGAAATGTAACGTAATAGGTTTGTTCATTGCTCTGTTTATTGCAATTGACAATAGTTTCCACATATAGATAATGATTATTGTTATTGAAATAGATTCAGCATCAATTTTGGATGTGATTGTGAGAATGAGACATGCGCTTTTCACTTCAACCCAAGACCAAACGAAGGTGTAGTTATTCGGAATGCAAACCTTGGTGGCTGGGGAGACGAGGAGAGAGATTATGAGGCAGATTTCCCATTCAGCCCAGGTCAATACTTCGATGCTCTGTTTGTGTGTACTGACGATAAGTATCATGTAAGTAAACCCAGGAATGGAGTAAGATGTCTTGTCCCAGTTGATTCCAGTATTGATTAGTTACATTCGACTACGTCGCAACGGTTAGAAATCAGTCAAAATCAACTTTATATTAAAACAAGAGTCCACAGTCATGCCCCTACCATAGAATATAATTTCAAAATGACCTAGACAGGGAAATTTAACTCACGTGAATCTCATGTGAAATTCAAACGAGCTTACACGTGAAACTCATGTGAACTAATTATACGTGAATCTATGTGAAACTCAAATGAATTTCACGTGAATTTCCGAAATAAAATTATTCAAATAACATCTAAATTTTCAAAATTAATTAAAATCATGAAAAATACAATTTTTTGTGTAAAGTTCACGTGAGATTCATGTATAATCTCGTTTGGGGTGAATTTCACGTGAGCAAAATTTGCCTATGTGTAGAGAGTGTTCAATAACTTCACATGATATTTATTTTATTGAAAAACTAGAATAGTAATATTAAATGTGTACAATGCATTTGTAAAAGTAGAGTTCATTGTAATACGTTGATTATTTAAACAGTCAAGTGATTCAAAATGAAAAAAAAACATAGTACAATTCAACAGGAATACAACTAAACAATAATGTCATTCTAAATATGTACATACTTGCTATGTAAAACACTACTCGTCTATTTCAAGTCATTTTGTCATGTATAAGTTGTATTATTACAAGATTGTGTATTAAATATGAAAATCTATTCTTATATAGGTGTACGTAAACGGAGAGCATTTTACTGATTTCAATCATCGATGTGGAGTGCCTGATGTGTCTCACTTTCATGTACAGGGAAATATGGACATCAAAGATGTGGAATATTTTGAACCATTGGTAAGTCTTTTTTTAACAACTAAGCATCTATAACGAAAGATATTTGACAAAAAAAGAGTTTTGGTAGAAAGTACTATACAAACATAAATCAAAACTGTAGGGATGAACATGTAAGAACGAGATAGCTGAGGTTAAGATACTAACAGCAAACAATTTGGAATACTAAGACTAAGCGGTATAAACACTTCTAGACTCTTACAGGACAGCTGTCAAATTAAACAAAACATCCCATGAAAATCACTGCCAATTTAAACAAATGTTTGTATTGAACGATGTCCATGATGAAATATTGAATCAGAATCTCATTTACTTTTACTACAGTAGATGGAGACTAGCTACCTAGACAGAATAAGTATTTCCTGCTACGCATGTAGTACCCGTCACATAATTAAAAAAATCACATTTAGTTTGAAGTGTAAAAGACATGAACTTTGCCAAATCTGTTATTTCGACATATTGACGATATGATATAAACCTGAATGAGTTCAAATGTCACAAGTAAGTTGAGAAGCCAAGATGCTATGACCTATTCATGATGACAACTTAGTGTCTTTTGGAGTATAGATTTACATGATTTATAACAAACTTTTCTAAAATTGCCCGTTTATAAATTTTGAAATTATAAAGAAACTAAGGTTTCAACTCCCTCAGGCAAAGTTGACCTTAGATGGATTTGGCTATTTGTTTTAGGTATTTTTGTCATATAGCTCTTCAACTGTTTCGGTACTTATACATCCCTCGGATTTCAAATGTTTGGCTTTGAGCGTTCCTGATGAAGGTAAGTCCAGAAAAGCGCTTCGGACGCATGAAATTATTAAACGTGTTGTTTTCATTTTTTTACAACCGTTCTTCCAAATAACCATGCTAGAATATATCTTAAGATAAGAGTATACTCCTGTTTTTGAAATCACAAAAATGAGAACACTCTCTGGCAAATCTTCTTAACCGAGAAATGTAAACGCCATAACCTGGGGAAGATGTAGCAAGTTTCCTCTCAAAAATGGAGATTGGACAATTGAATACCGTATGATGAAAATTTGGTGTGTTGTTTGTGTTGTTGGGATGCTGTCTAATTGACGTGTGTCTTTTGTCTATTTAGTATTAATAATTTTAATTTCACAGGGATTGTAAGTACTTTCCAAAAAAAGTGAAAGAACATCATCAGTATATCTGAAAGTGCACCTAAAGGACATTGCTAGATGTGTTGGTTGCTGTATGATGTAAAGGCAGCTAAAAAGCCAAACAATTTTTGGTCAATAAATGGTGTAATAAACGTTTGTGTATTTTTAACTAATAAGCTAATAATTTTTGGAGTATAAAAACTTTGTACAGTAACGTGATTGAATTAAATTTTAGGAGGATGATTTTGTGAAACAGGTTCCATCTGGAATGGAGAAAGGAGATGTAGTGGTGTTTAGAGGTTTCATGAGACCAGGAGGCGATGTGTAAGTTGAATTGTAGAATACCAGGAAGATATTGTCCTAAATAGAATATAGTACTACATAAGCTTACAAATGCAGTACATATATTGTGAGATTCAATCATTTCATTGTTTGAAAAAAAAACTTAAGAAATAATGGTATACGAAACGTATATGATAGGGAATTATTTGTAGAAAATATTTTTGCTCTTACATGACTTACTTGTTGCGGAGGTAAAGGCTTTCTGGTTGAAACTTTTGGGTGTAGTAAGAGGATTTCAGAATAAAAACTTATAAAACGTATAGATATATTACTTACCAACAATATAATAAATGATGTGGAATTTATGAAAGTTTTCAAATCAGAAATAAGAAAACTAAATCCAAACATATGTGTATAATTATCATCTTATACATATCAACGACGTGATGTATGTGAGGATTGAAAATTTATCAATTTATTCAATTTACAATTTAATTGACATTTGCAAACAAGTTAGTGAAGTAATTTCTCAATTGATCTTTATACCTCTAAAATAGATTTACATTAACTGTTACAATTTAAATATGAACTGAATTTTTTTCGTCAAAATTACTGAATGTTTCTAGTAATTTTTTATGTCATTAATTAAACTTTCTGTTTGGGTAATTTATTCATGAGACACGTGTTGTATATTTTGTCCAACCACTATGAAAAGATACTCTAAACAGCTTATAAAGAACATACAAATGAAGAGGCTACCTGTAATATATAGTGATATGTTGATGTCACATGTGACTATATCTTTAACACTTTTGTGTTGACAGGAAATGTTATTGATACGTTCATGTTCTGTAAATTTTACTGTTTATAAAATGTTGAACTATTCCAAACACTGAGGTGTTTCTATCCCAGGCACAGATAGATAAGCCGTGTTTGGCACAAATTTTCGGAAGTTATGGTTTTCAATGCAGTTCAACTTCATGTTTGATTTGGCTTTCCAACTTGATTGGAGCACGACTGATGAGTCTTATGTAGACGACGCGCATGTCTGGCGTACCAAATTATAAGCCTGGTATCTTTGATGAGGTTTACAACCATTTAATCGCTTCCCTTGCTGGTGGACTTTTCTGTAAATTTCCTGTAAACCAAAAGATGAATTATTCGAAACACTAAGGTTGTTCTACCTACAGTGTCGTATATATGGAACAGCTTTTCGGATTGTTTTTGGTTTCTAATACTCTTTAGTTTCACATTTGATCTGATCTTCCAAATGTTTTGGTTCTAGTCCAACTGGTGAGCTTTATGTAGACGAAACTTGTATGTGGTACCAAGTTATAAGCCTTTTTAATTTAGAATGACAAAATAAAGTTCAATCATCTTTATTCACAGATTTTCAGTAAACTTTATGAACGGATACACAGCCGATTCAGACATTGCCTTACATTTCAACCCTCGTATCGGTGAGGGACAGGTTATTATGAACTGCTGTACTGGAGGAGATTGGGGCGAAGAAGAAAAAGCAGACATTCCATCTGTTATTGCCGAGGGAAAACCATTTGAAATCAAAATTGTAACAAAGAGGAACAAATTCAAGGTAAAATGCGAAACTTCTGAATCACCTGACAACATTTAAAACTAAGCCTCTTTCATCTTTGTTTAGTATTATCATATACCGGTATGTCCTCACGTATTCAGGCAGGCCCACCTCCGGGTGCGGGATTTTCTCGCTGCGTTGAAGACCCATTGGTTGCCTTCGGCTGTTATCTGCTCTTTGGTCGGGTTGTTGTCTCTTTGACATATTCCTTATTTCCATTCTCAATCTTATTTATACTTTTTGATTTTTAACGTTCCTGGTGAAAGAAAATCCAGAAACGCATTGCGGACGCATATTGCTTCTATGTATTATTTTTATTTTCTAACACTGGGTCGTCAGTTAGTGAGGATATCAATCAGCTTAGTAGTCAGGATTCGGTTGGGGAGATATTTCCCCTGTCGACGAACCCGTCTCTCTCCTTTTTTGGATTTCTCGATTTCTGTTTGTTACCTCGATTTATCTCTAGGTAAACTACTGTCGCCATAACTAACACAATTTATTACGTTCTTTTCTTAAATTCTCCGTTAATAAATTAAACATTATTAAGATACTAAGTATTTAACTCCCTAAGGCAAACTGACCTTAAATGAATTTGGATATTCTTTCTAGGTCCGTTTTGTTCATATAGTTTTTCACATATTTAGATATTTAACCATCCTTAATGGGCTTCCGGTTCTTTTTTAATTTGAGCATTCCTGCTGAAAGTAAATCCAGAAAAGCACTTCTGATCCACCAAATTTGTTAATTAGTATTTTCTTTTTAATATATCTTGGAGAAAATTTCTCTTTCTAATATTATTTGATATCAATGCTATTACTACAAAAAGAGATGAAAGCCAGAAGCCAAAAAGTCAACAGCGAAATTGCCTCAACGTTTCACAAATTTCTTGCAACATGTAAAATCTATCTATACTTACGATAAGTGACAGAACGGAAATATAAAATCAGAACACCGACATTCTCAATAAAACACAGGGCAAATATGCTTACTAAGCTTTAGTGTTTGTAAGAGCAATTTTGATGGTAACACCATTAAATATTTCACTTAACTATAATGGAAAGAAATCATGTATAAAGATGCATTATTTCCCTCGAATATCTCCGAAAACTACTATATTGTATAGAATTATAGTTTTGATCTATATCCACTATCACCAATTACAATCGTATACAGTCAGATCATAACTTATAGCTGCATTCGATGTGTTTTTCTGAGTAAACTTTGAGGAGGTTAGCTCAGAACCAATATTTGGAACAGTAAGATTTTGTTCACGAATGTAGCTATAACAAAAATGAAATCCGTTTGAGGCCTGCTTTGTCTCGGACGACTGAAAACCTTATATTTTTTTTAACTTACAAACTCAGTTGAGAATTTGTATATAAAATGCCAAACACGTTAAGTAGAAGAGAAATAGCCTCGCTAACACAAAACAGTATATCACAAACGTCAACTTTGCAAAAGGTAGTCACAACTTCAATTTTAATTTTGGGTAAAGTTCGTTAAGCATTATTCGTTGCCAACTTAAACTTAAGAAATGTTGTTTCCTGGGTACATTTCTTATTTCATGGTATATTTCTTCTCATAAATCTTCTCATTTTTCTGAAGGTTTATGTCAACGGAAACAAATGCATGAAATTCGATGCCAGAGGTAACGTGGAGGACATCAAAGGAATAATGGTTAAAGGAGAAGCCTTTATCTACCAAGTTAAACTAGAGAGAAAACTGGTAAGTATAAACACCTAATTGCAAATTTGATTTAAATTAACACTATAATATTAGTTATCTTGGTGTAATCAGGGGTGTACAGAATTTTACCGAATTTATTTCTTATGAACAATTCCTTTACTCATTTTTAAACCGGGATGTAAAATTGAAAAATGCTAATGAAAAAATTCCAGTGTTACATTTTTTCAACATCGATGTTGCTGCGCATTGTCAAATACTTTTTTTCTTTATTTTGGGGATTCAGAAAAAAAAAATTGTTATTTTGAATTTTCGGGGAAAAAATTTTTTTATTTAATTTTTTTTTATATAAATTTTTTTTACAAATTTTTGTCCTCAAATTTATTTATTTTTCATTTTTTATATTATTTTTTTTTTTTGACATTTTATTTTTTTTTGTTTTTGACATTTTATTTATTAATGTTTTATTATTTATTTTTTTTTACATTTTATTTTTTTCTTCTTTATTTTGGCAATTTTTTTAATTTTTTTATTTTTTGGCAAAATTTTATTTATCCCGGGGTGAACAAGGTTGGGTGTTATTTACACCGTGGTAATTAACCAATCAGATTGCAGTATTTTTGCTGCATAAGAAATAAGCTGTTTTACAATTGTTTTCCCATAGAGGATAGTTTCCAAATTTCGAGGAGGGTTGAAGATCATCTGTGAAACCAATCTGGTAGTTGTGAAATCGACATACACAAACAAGTCTCCTTATTTTGTATAATGTTTACATTTAAGTAAATTAAATATGTACTTTTTTAGACTTGTCAAAATGATTGTGGAATATTTTTTTTTAAAAGCTGTCTTAATATCTAATATTAATGCTGTTTTAACAGGAAAAACCAGTTGTAGAAAGTCTACCATTTGGTCTTAGAGAAGGTGGATGGGTCGTTGTTCAAGCCATTCCAAAGAAAGGCTCAGAAGGGTAAGACATATTTTTAAAAATTACCGACAAAAAGTATAATTTTATACATTTGAATTGCTCAGGTATCAAAATAAATAATTTATCATTGTTACCTTATATGAAGGCTTTAAACATTTACATGTATAACGTAATGTGTTCTTCCGCTGACATTATAAATCTTTCTCACTTGTTTTTTTTTAAATATCACAAAACCCGTGCCAGTGCTATTTATTTGTATGAATAAATGATAGTATCTTCAGTTTATATATATAGACAATAGAGGTGGTTCTGGACATTTGGCTATTAATGAAGACTTATTATGACAACCTCCGGACGTGTTTTTGTATTTTATTGTTTTTAACTATAACGTTATGCTCGACGTCCTTTTTATGCATCAGTTTGCAGCATTTCTTAACTAATGTTTAGAAAAATCATATATCCCCAAAAGTTTAAATGTTAATTTGTTATGTTTAATGTACCCATTTTATAATTTTGAATAATGTCCACTTATAGCTTTGCTGTAAACTTATGCTGTGGAGAAGATGATGACTGTGATGTAGCATTCCACTTTAATCCACGTCTACAGGAAAATTGCTCCATTCGAAACACGTTTTCTGGTGGAGAGTGGCAAGAGGAGGAACGTGACCAACCATGCTTTCCATTTGAAAAGAAGGAAACCTGTGAAATTGCGATTAATATAAAGTCCGATAAATTTGTGGTAAGGGATTATTTCTTGAAAAAGATTATCATTTCACAAAACGTTGAAAGAAGTAAACATTTGTATTCTGTATGTTTATTTTCATCTCTCGCCGACAATTATTTGACAATTTGACGAAAGAGTCGATTTTTCTATGTATAAAATAAAGAAATAAAAACGATAATAGCTTTCTACAGAATGAATCATAATTTTATTCACATCTCTTCAAAAAGCCGGTGTTTTCAATATTTAATTTGCTTACCAAATATTGCTTTGATTTTAGACGTATGTAAATGGAGAACATTATGTAGACTATAACCACAGACTTTCACTAGACAGCGTGTGCCATCTGAAACTAACGGGAAATGCAGAATTTTATGAACCAGAGTTCTTATAAAAGGTAATAATCGTGTAAAAAGTACACCATTTACTCAGGGTATCATCCGCCAAATAGCCAGTGCTTTGCAACAGACATGACTTTTGAAACATACTTTTCTAAAATTTTCGATTGATAAACTGATAAATTATGAGTGTTATAAGAGCTCATAAAAAATACAAGGCTTTTAATTTGGTACGCCAGACCATCGTTTTGTCTACATAAGACTCATCAGTGCCGTTCGAATCAAAAACCAAATAAATATTACGAAGTTGAAGAGCATTTATAACCGAACTTCCAAAAAGGTTATAAGGTTCCAACTCTTTCAGGCTGGTTTTGGGTTTGGTTGTTCTTTTTAAGTCACTTAAAAAAGACTTTTTTAAAGTCTCTTTTGGTCATAAAGCTTTGTTAAGTATCTATACCTCCCCCTGGCTTTCAAATTGTTGGATTTGATCGATATTGAAGCAAGTAAATCCACCAAGTGTTAATTTCATTTACCAAAATAACATTGCATTGCATTTTCAGAACGGAATTGATTTGATGGCTCAATAAAAATGCCTTTGTTGCGCTTTTTACATCGCGATGAACGTGAGGGCATTCCGATGTATTGCTATCACCTAGATTTCCATTACGTAAATTTCGTTTTGGGTTTGTAACCGATCTATAAACATAATAAATATGCGGATATTAACGAGTGCAAACTAACATTCCTTATCGTTTGTAAATTAAATTCATCTCTTCAATGAATACTGATAAAAATATTTTTGTTTAGAACATAAATTAATAATATGAAAATGTTTTGTCGTTAGATATATATATATATATAAGTAAAAAATCATTGACAATATCTATGCACACGTACCGAAAAATTGTGTTAAAGCATGCGGAAGAATATCTCAAGAATCCCGGCAAGGACCGGTAACTCTGTAATTGTTTTTGAGGGAAAATATGAATGCCTACTCATATCCAATCTTTTAGAAAAATCGAATTTTTACAGAAGAGTGTCCACCATGCACTTGCACTGCACTATTATTAGAATAGTATAATAGAATGATATACAAATGGATGAAAATCATATATATATGTAACTGTTATATTAATATAATATATAACAACAAACCAGTGTATACTGATTTGTATCACTACAATATAATAGTTATTTCGGTGAGGTTGAATTTCCTGTCATTTATTCATCATCCACGCACGAACTTGTCTCAGAAAAAAATATATCTCTGTACATTAACCTCAGTTTCACGTATAGAGATGTGATTTTTTTCTGTGACAAGTGCTTCCTCCGC